AATATCTCCAGAGATGGAGATTCCACAACCTCCCTAGGCAACTTATTTCAGTGCTTAACCACCCTGACAGTTAGAAACTTTTTCCTAATGTCCAACCTAAACCTCCCTGGCTGCAGTTTAAGCCCACTAATTTTTGTTCCAGACTCAGAGGCAAGGAAGAACAATTTCTCTCCCTCCTCCTTGTGACACCCTTTTAGATACCTGAAAACCGCTCTCATGTCTCCTTCAATCTTCTCTTTTCCAAGCTAAACAAGCCCAGTTCTTTCACTCTTCTTTCATAGGTCATGTTCTCTAGACCTTTAATCATTCTTGTTGCTCTTCTCTGGACCTTCTCCAATTTCTCCATATCTTTCTTGAAATGTGGTGCCCAGAACTGGACACAATACTCCAGCTGAGGCTGCAGTGCAGAGTAGAGCAGAAGAATGACTTCTTGTGTCTTGCTCACAACATACCTGTTAATGCACCCTAGAATCATGTTTGCTTTTTTTGCAACAGCGTCACATTGTTGACTCATATTTAGCTTGTAGTCCACTATAACCCCTAGATCCCTTTCTGCCGTACTCCTTCCTAGACAGTCGCTTCCCATTCTATGTGTGAAACTGATTGCTCCTTCCTAAATGGAGCACTCTGCATTTGTCCTTATTAAACTTCATCCTATTTACCTCAGACCATTTCTCCAGTTTGTCCAGATCATTTTGAATTATGACCCTGTCCGCCAAAGCAGTTGCAACCCCTTCTAGCTTGGTATCATCTGAAAACTTAATAAGCGTACTCTCTATGCCAATATCTAAATCATTGATGAAGATATTGAACAGAACCAGTCCCAAAACAGATGCCTGCGGAACCCCACTAGTTACACCTTTCCAGCAGGATTGTGAACTGTTAATAACTACTCTCTGAAAACAGTTATCCAACCAGCTATGCACCCACCTTATAGTAGCCCCATCTAAGTTGTATTTGCCTTGTTTATTGATAAGAATATCATGCGAGACTGTATCAAATAGTGCTACAGGCCTGCTCAGTACAGATAAAAGGACAAAGTCCCTGTTGCAAAGAGTTTACAGCTGACTGTAGACATGATGCAGCACAGGCAACAGAACAATAGAGGAGGAAGATGTGGTAAAGTCCTGGCAATAAAATGATGTGAAGGCTTGTGAGCAGCACAGTTAGGAAAGGAGTTGTGGGCTAATTCTGTACATCTATATGCCATAATCACTTTGCTGAGTCTCTTCTTGTGCATGTCACAGGAGAAGTGAGTCTTCAGATGGGAGTTAAAAGTGGGAGGACTGTTATGGCCCCATAAGATGTAGCTCCAACAAGTCTGGTAAAATGGGGGCTAAAATACTGAGTGGGGGCTAGTAGTTAACAGCACAGGCAGTCCCCGGGTTACATGGATCCGACTTACATCGGATCCCTACTTACAAACGGGGTGAGGCAACCCCGCACTAGCTGCTTCCCCCCAGCACCCCCAGCAGACCAGGGAGACGCAGAGCGGCTTTTCTCAGCAGACAGCTCAGCTTGAGAATAAAGGACTGAGGGAAGTGAGGTGTGGGAGAATAAAACTGAGCTCTGGAGAAATGTGTGACTAGAGTTTCCCCTACAATGTACCAGTTCCGACTTACATACAAATTCAACTTAAGAACAAACCTACAGTCCCTATCTTGTACGTAACCTGGGGACTGCCTGTACATAACTTCTAATCCCCCCTTTGTTATTGACTTGCTACATGATGTTAGGCAAGTCACTCAACCCGTCTCAGTTCCTCTGTCACTACATCACTAATACTCCCCTCCCTATCTCCCGGGTGGGCTGTGAGGATTAATGAGTTACTCATGACATAGTTCTTTGATCATGTTAAGTGCTGCTAACTGTTACTACTCTTGTAGCTCCCTTTTCACCATAGCTTCTCACCTGCCCCAGCCCTGACCCTGGATCATGTGTCGACGGCTGTACTCCTTGCACAGCCTGGGAGTGGGCATTTTAATACAAAGCACATTGCAGAGAAGGAAGGAGATCATCTTTCAGGCCTGGGGTTACACATGGAAGTAATGAGGGCCGTGGCTGGCGCTGTCTGTGGCACCAGCTGCCTGCTTGGTGACCGTTTCCCAGCCTCACATCTCTGTTTCCACAAAAACTCCCAGCAACAATGCTCAGGCACTTGCTTGCACATCTAGCCAAAGTGGAATCTGCACCTTCTGCGAAAGGAGCAGAGTTTAGAGACCAGAGGTTTCAGGTCCTGGAGACAGCAGCTGCAGCACAGCAAAAGGTTGAGAGAAAAGAGCATTCAGAGGGGCTCAGGAGCCAAACCAGCGAGCTAGAAGAAACAGAGCGCTGGTTCTGGGGTGCTAGATATCAGCCAGTGCTCACGCTCTCGTCATATGGCTCAAGTCACCCTTGCTTTATGCAGGCTTCCACTGACGTAGGGATGGGCAATAAGCAACCCACAGGTTGGATGCAGTTCACCAGGGTTAGCTCCTGGTGGGCCACTCTATTTACCTGCGCTGCCACAGGTACATCTGCTTACATCTCCCATTGGCTGTGCATCACTATTCGCGGCCAATGGGAGCGGCAGGAAGTAACATAGAGCTCCCATTGGCCAGGAACAGCAGTCCACAGCCAATGGGAGGTGCAAGCAGTCGTGCCTGTGGACCTGCAGGTAAATAAAGTGGCCCAACGGAGGCTAACCCTGGTGAACCACATCCAACCCATGGGCTGCTTATTGTCCACCCCTGCTCTAAAGCATCCCAGGATGCTGGGCCCCTAGCAGTGGAATGTCTGCCGGTGTATGGTGCACAACATGGCCACAACTTCTCCTCCACTAGGTGCCCCAAAGTGGGTGACATGGAGTGGGAAATCATGTCCAGTAAGCGCACCCTGCTCCCAGCCTCTGTTCGTGTGGCTCCTAGGAAATCCGTGGCACAAACTAGAGCAGCCTTCACTTTGCAAAGACACCAAACACCGCTTATACCTCCCTTTCAAGCAGGGATGAAACTAACCCAGTCTCTGGCAGCTCAGTGTGTCTAGCAAAAACATCCCCTGTCCAGCATGAACTGAGTCAGATTGGGCCCTGCTCCATCTCTAACTTCTGTGGTTCTGTGATGCTTTGAGTCAGTCAGTGGGGCAGACAGATTCACCAGGCCCCCGGGCAAGGCAGGGAGAGGGATAGCTCCATGCCCTGGAATGGGTGGGGCCTCAGGTGGAAGGGGTGGAGCTGGGGTTAGCCCAAAGTGCTGCCCAGAGTGTGCTGCGAGGGGCTCTGGCTGCTTCCCCTTTTCAATTGCTAGGCCCTGGGGCAGTTGCTCCATCCTCCCGCCACCATAGGTGGGCCCGGAGTCAGCCCAGTGTAGCTGGCTGCTGTCCAGGGTTTGCATCACAGCCCAAGAGTTGCTTTTAATCCAGCTGTCTTGTATTCAGAGAGACAGAGGGGTCTAGCAAAAGCATGTCTTTGAACCTGCAGGGCAAAGTTGTCCCATTGTACTTGCAAGGAGACCCCTACTCTCTGGGGACAATGAGAGGGACAGGGAAGCCAGGAAGACAGGTGTACCAGACATAGGGAAGTAAAAGAACAGTCGATTAGTTGACCACCTGATAAGCCTAAGCTTATGGGATAGTCAAGTTGACTACTCGCATCTCCCCCCATTGCTGCCTCTACATCAAGGCAGCAAGGGGGGGGAGCAGGAGCCAATGGTGGGAGGAGTTGGCTTAAAAAGCCAGTCCCCCCCCCAGCATCATCTCTGTGCTACCACTTGCCTTCCCCCAACCCCCCGTGCTGCTGCCTCTGTCAGAGGCAGCAGTGAGGTGGGGCCATGGGAGGCTGCTCCGGCAGCAGTCCCTGTCCACGGAGGGTCCCAGCTGGGAGTTGGGACCGCCTGCGAGCAGGAGCTGTTGCGGCTAAGCAGCCCCTGCCCACGGAGGGGGTCCCAACTCCCTGCTGGGACCCCTGCGAACACAGGCTGCTGTCACGAAGCAGACCCTGTCCAGGCCCATCCAGCTGGGATCCCCCATAAACCTGGGCTGCTGCTGGAGCAGTCTCTGTTTGTGGTAGCCTGTGCGCCCAGCTCTTACTACATTTAAACTGCAGAGCCAGAGCAGGGGTAGCTCCTTCTGAGCATCTTCCCTTATCGACTAATCGTGTAGTCAGTACAATTTGTATCAACTACACGATTATCCAGTTACCCGCCTCTTAACATCCTTAACCAGACGGGCTCTTCAAGGGGCCCTCATGGAAAAGGAAATGCATTTTTCCCATTCTGGAGACAGGGTGCAAAAGGGATTGTCTTAAGCTTTAGTCTCTCTGGCACCTGGCTCACCCTGCCAAGGTGCCTCCAGGCAGAGCTGGGCTTGTGAGAGGAGTTCTGCATCTATGTCCCATCCAACCCGTGACCTCTCTGCTTTGATACTCAGCAAAGGCCAATAGTGTGCTGAGACCCATCAAACTCATTTCATGTAGGTCACGGAACAGTCAGGTGACATCTAGATTGGCATGATTTTCCACAAATGCTTTTAATGGAAAAGAGTGTCTAGATTGGCACGGACGCTTTTCCGCAAAAGCACTATTTGCGGAAAAGCGTCTGTGCCAATCTAGATGCGCTTTTGCACAAAAAAGCCCCGATCGCCATCTGAGCTGTCTACACAGGCCCTTTTGCGCAAAAGGACTTTTGCCCAAACGGGAACAGCATAGTATTTCCGCAAGAAGCACTGATTTCTTACATGAGATCGTCAGTGTTCTTGCGGAAATTCAAGCGGCCAGTGTAGACAGCTGGCAAGCTTTTCCGCAAAATCATGTGCTTTTGCAGAAAAACTTGCCAGTCTAGACACAGCCACAATCAACCTTCTGTGGATTCATATTTGGGTGTTGTCGCCCTCCCCATAGCCAGCCCTCCAGCTGGCAGTACCATAGCTACTCTCATGACATTTTAAAGATGCTTTAGCTAATGAACCCTGTGCACTTGCCTAGCCAGGAGAGGAAGAGAAAGGCAGCTACTTGGCATCTTACTCACCGCCCGCGTGCAGCACTGCTGTCATGATGGATGGGAACCATGATGTCTCGCTGTTGGTGGCTTGGAACTCATGCTGCAGGTCTGTGAAGAAGATTCCGATGCAAGAGGGAAAGGTCAGCGTCAGTCCTTGAAGCAGCACAGTGGACAACAAGACCATCCATGCCCATCCCCGGTCCTGAGTCTCGGAGGTCCCATGTGTTGCTCCTCCTCTGGACATTTCCACTTCCACCTCCTTCCAAGCCAACCTGTTTGAAAAATCAGCTCAGCTGTCACACAGTAGCCCTGGGAGCAATGGAAAGAGAATCACAGCACAGACACCTGCTCTCTCTGGCCACAAGAACCAATGCCTTCTATGTCTTGCCCTCTGATGCCTGCTACGTCTTGCCCTTCACTGCTCAGAACACTTTCCCATCTCTTTCACCACAGGATCCTGGCACCACAGTGCTTAGGAAATGAGCCACCTTCCCCTGTTATTTCACAAGAGGCTGAATGTGTCCAGCTAGAGTCCTGGACACGCCCCCTTGGAGGTATGAATTGGCCTTACCCCGCTCCCTCCTAGAGCTTGTTTTTCCTTTCACCTGCTTTCAGCACACAGTCCCGGTGCTGTGGGTAGCTAAAGTAATAAAATCCTCCTGCTAAGGGGAGAAGGAAGCTGATGCAAATACCAACAGTAATAACAATTATATATAGCTCTGCTGAGTAGGACAAGCAGCGCTGGGCACCTCTGTGCAGCCCCTGCCTGCTCCTGGGTACAGCCTAAGCTGCAAGTCCTGATTGTTAAAGTCTTGAACAGCTTGGGATTTGGTATTTTCAGAGACGGGTCTTGCTCCACCCTGTCTCAGCCAGACGAAACTTGGTGGCAGTTCCCAGTCTGGGTTCAGCAGTAGCATGAAGCAGTCAGCTGAGAGCCACTCCTCTTGGGCAGCCTGCCAGGCTCCATGTGCGACAACCGTCAGGGCACCGTGCAATGCTGGACATGGACGCAGGACTTTTCACCTGTGGCTCTCAGAGCCCCATTCAAAGGACAGCCAATATCAATATCCCCATGTCTCAAATGGGGAAACAGGCAAAGACAAGGCACGAGTGTGACTTTATTCTGGCTCCCACAGGGAGACACTGGCAAAACCAAGAATGAAATATAGGTCTCCCAGTCTGAGGTTCTAGTCTTCTTGCAATAAACATTGATCTGGTTTTAGCTGTTTGTTGGGGATTTGTCTAGGTTTTTAAGTGTTGATTTAACTTATCTTGATTCCAGTAACATAGGCATGTGATTGCTAATGTTCCTAAAGTCAGCAGCCCCAGCCTTCAATGCTGCTCCTCCCAGATAGTTTTATGTAAAAAAAAATAAAAATTAATTAATGGAATAATCTACTCCAGGCTCAGCATTTCAAAGCCCCCATTACTTTAATTAACTGAGAGTCTGCATCAAACACCAGGCTGGTACCAGAATAGCCATTCTATAAATTAATATGATTAACACGTGTTATATATGCAGAATAGGCAAATTCACACCCTATTACTAAACATTTATTTTACAGTAGCAAAGAGCCCTGCTAACTCTAAGGCCCCATTGTTCTGGGCAGTGTGTTCATAAACAGATAGTCCTTATCCTGGAGACCAGACAGACTCAAAGAGACACAAAAAGAAAGGCTTTGGTGGGGGCACATACACAAAAAAACAGGGGGATGATTGGCACAGTTTAACTCTTTGTACGCTGTGTCTGGGCAGAGATAATGCAACTGACTAGTTCATGGGCTATCCCTCTGCTATGGTCAGATCACTCTGATTTAGCTGACTCATGGCTTAACGTCTGTCCCCAGCAATCACAACCCAAACAAAGACAGCCCAGAACACTGCAGTTCGAATTGTCTTTGTTCCCGATTGCACAACTCGGACTGTTTTGTCCAGCTACTGATCCCTGCCAACCCCAATCCCACCAGATTTCTTTTTTATGCTGGCTCACTGCCTACTAATTAAACTCTCACCATAATACACACCTGCTGTAGCTTTCAACTACCAACTCCACCTACTGTCCATCGTTACAGGCCAAGTTTCCCTCCTCAGCAATCTGATCCCACTGGTTCGTCTGCCTCTGAATGAATGCTGAGACATCCTGCTTATAATACACAGACTAATGCAAGGAACCTCAGCAACCATAGTGTCATGCCAGCTGCATTCTGCCTCAACAAAGGTAAATGGGAACAGGGTCAATCCGGTGCCAATTCACCTGGCTCTGTCAAGTGGAACGACAAAGGAAATGCAGCTGTACAAAGCCTTGCATGGACTCTCCCCACAGTAATTAAGTGATTGCAGCAAGCTAGTAAGGGCATGTTCGGTCCACGGGAATTGCTGTACTGGAAGTTCATCTGGTCCGGTATTCTGTGTCTTGTTAGACTACAGAAGCCCTTTGTAATACAGGTTGCCACTTGTGGAGTGCTACAGCAGGTGGAGCTATTCCCTCTTGACCACTGCTGGGATTCATCTTAAGCCCCTCTGATGCACAAGGGCAGCTACCCCATCATATTACCAGCCTTGTGTAAGAGCAGAAGCTGATTTTATCAAGGTGTGCCTCATCCTTTGTTAAAGGTGTTTCTCAATGTGTGAATTTCATGCTCCGCTCAGATGCCGGATTAACAGGAAAGGACACTGACGAGGCCTTTCTGCTTCTACAGCAGAGGCAGAAGTTCCTTCACCTTGCCCCTTGGTTATAGTTCAGTCTTGGCACCACCGCTGAGATTACTTGGTCTCTATGGCCAAATCAATCTTTGGGGGCCAATCAAGGTTACCAATGTTCATGCTTTTACTTGACATTCTTAGGTAGAAGGTGCAGTTAGTGCTCATGAGTGAGCAGCAAGAGACCTGTGCTCCAGACCCAACTCTATCACTTTCTTGACTTTATGATTCTACCTGCTGGCTTATCTGTGCCTCGGTTTCCCAATATGCAATGTGGGGTTAGCCCATGTACACACCTGGAGATCTTTTTTTTTTTTTTTTTAAAGGTGCTCAGCTGTGGCCCTTTGCATACCAGTTTATGGCAGCTATGAAAAAATGCTACTGCTTCCTGGGGTTAAGGGAACAAGGGGAGAGCAGCACTGGTGGGGCAGGTTTGTGTCCCTTGTTCTCAGTGCCAGTGAGCAAGGAGAGAAAGGCAGGGAAAGATCTAGTGTAAGGTGAAACCCAGAATTGAGATGGCTAGTTCCATTGTGTTTGCTCTCAGTTTTCCCTGGCACGGCCAGACTTTCAGCACAGAAGGTTCCAGCCTTCTCTCCACAGTGAGTAAGGTATGGTCAGTGGTTGGAAGAATGCCCCCTCCAGACTGTGGCCAGGAATGAGCCCCAACCTTGTGGGCATTACCCAAGCCTGGCTGGAGGACCAGATTTGGCATGCTCTCCGGAGAACTCCAGTGCCAGGCGTGTTTCTGGTTCCCTTGCTGGGAGGGGATCAGGGTGGTCTGGCTTGGCAGAGGAGAGTTTCCCGTGAGCCCTCTGGGGCTCTGCCCAAAGGGTCCCCTAGGGGCTCTGGGACAGAGGTCCAAGCTCTGGCTGCCGGGTAGCCCCTGTCCCAAACCCTGGCTGCAGACCAGTCCGGCTTGAGGGCCCAGGCCCAGCTCCCAGGCAGCAGCCGGCCGGGAGGATGCACAGAGAGCAGCGCCCGGCGATGAGCCAGCCTGCCCTTCCCCGGGCACGGCAGCAGGAGGTGACACTGCCGGTTTCCGCTGTGGGGGGCTGCCCAGCCAGCCACCCCCGAGCCCCGCTCCCGCTTCTCTCTCCGGCGGGGTCACTGGTCACAGCCCCGGGCGCCCGAGTCAGGCAATAACCGTGAGACCCCCTCCCCCGCCCCCCCCTCGGGCCCCGGGAGCGCCCAGCTGTGAGATCCGGGCTCCCTTCCGCTCTGCTGCGGCTGGATGGCCGTTCCTTCCTCCACACCCCCGGAGTCACTCCGCTTACCTGTTCACACAGGCGCCGCCATCCGGAGTGACTCCGGCCCAGAGCTCGGGGAGGGAGGGCACGAAGGAGCGGGGCGCTCAGAGGGCACCCGCGGCTCTCTCCTCCGCCTTCCCCCGGTCCTCTTCCTGGAAGGGCAGTGCTGGCTTCTCTCCTTCGCCCTGCGAGGGAGGAGACACAGCCGATGCAAGTCAACAGAGCAGCTCCGTGCAGGCACATCTGTGGCGAGAGGGGGAAGTTCAGGGCGGGTGCGTCCAGCTCCATGCAGGCACATCTGTGGCTGGGGGAGGAAGGGAGGGTCGCAGAGCACCTGGGGGTGGAGGGGAAAAGTTACATCTCCAGAGGATGATGCCTGATCTATAGGCGGGGTGGGAGGGGACGTGGGAAACTATCAAATCCCCTGGGGATCACACAGCATGGGTGTGTGTGTGTGCAGAAGTTTTGGGAAGTAATTTAATCTCTTCAGTGTCACACGCCCTAGGGAAGGGAGTAGGTCCAAAGGGCACCACATGGGATGGGGGAGGGGTGTGTGTGGAGTTGTTTTGTTGGGGGAAACAAAATTGTACCAGGAGCATATTGGGAGCCAGTGGCAATTAACTGGCGACTTTGGGGGAAATGGTCAGATCCACCCTGTGATCACACAGAGTCTAGGGGAGGGTGTGAACCGGAACAATCGGGAGTTGCTTTGATTCACAACTGGTTGTACAAGATCTGCTGGAGATAGGACTGGACCAATGGCATGTTCGTAGATCCAAGCGATAGTGGCAGAGGATATAGCGGGGAATTGGAATGGTCAAAGCAGGAGGACCAAATCCACTGGGAGAAATCTACACATAGGACTTCACAGAATCAGCGGAAGGGACGGAGTGGGAGATCTGCCAGGGATTTTCACAGGCATTTTTTGGTAGTCTTGAGATCTGCTTGAGAGGGGATTGAATTATTTCTTCAGCCTGCCTCAGTGGATCTAAAGCATCAGAGGGGTAGCGAGTTAGTCTGCAACTGGAAAAACTTAAGAAACACTGAATAATCCAGCAGCACCTTAAAGACTAACAAAACATGTAGATGGTATCATGAGCTTTCATGGTACCCACAAAAGCTCTTGATACTATCTACATGTTTTATTAGTCTTTAAGGTACTGCTTAGACTATTCATTTTCATTGGATCTAGTTGGACTGGAACCACAAGCTACAGTCGCAGGAGCTGTGAACTATGGTTCTGCTCAGGTTTATGCTGGAGAAGGAATAACAATGTTTGGTGAGAATTTTAGAGACTGGCTGTTAAAGTGATTTGAAGATTCAGGTATCCCCTATCCCAAATCTCAGGCTTTTTAACTCTCTATGCAACTCCCATATCTCTATTAAGGATGTTAAAGACTAGTCGACTATTCGATAAGCATTTGCTTATTGGATAGTCTTTTGACTAGTTGATAGGCAATTCTGCATTCCTCCTTTGAAATGTACAAGAGCCCCCGCTGGAGGAGGAGTAACAGGTAATTTGAACTAAGGACTTAGTTTGAATTACCCTTAAACTGCAGCGTTTAGCCACAGGCAGTTAGTCTGGTCTAGTGGCATTTTAAGATGGCGACCGGATGGGAACATGCAAATAAAGCCCAGGATATTTAAATCCCGGGCTTCATTTGTAAATTTGAATGCCTACATTAGCCTCCCTAGTTCGAACTAGGGGGCTAGTGTAGACATACCCTAAATCTTTTTGAGGATCTGAATGCAGATGCTAAGCCAAAGCTGAAGGTTATCTGATACAGAGATGATATGGCACTGAGCGGAGATGAAGTTTGATACCATGGTATCCATTGTGATTACATGTCATCACCCCGGGGAGTGTTCTGTTTACTCCTTCACAGAACACTAATTGGATGTGTAACCTGAGAGGACTTCTGGCTGCCTCTGAACTGCAGTAACTAGACACCTCTCCTCAAAAGTCCTTTCCACATGAATACCCAACAGATGGCCCACCCTACTCCCCTCCACTCCTAAATACTCCAGTCCTAACCTCCCTCAGCAGGACTTGCTATATCAAAGAGTTCTGGAAGAGCTGGTCTTACCTGAAACTTGATCCATGTGGTTAGATAAAGCACTTGGAAACCTAGCTGGCACTGAAGCAGGGAGTTTGTGGGTGCTTCACGCTCTGTCTGTTGCAAGTGGGTAGTTAGAAATGGGAGTCAAGTGTGAATGTTGGGATTGGGATGGGAGGAGAGGAGAGGAAGAAAGGTAGCAGACCTTGAAGGAGGAATGGAAGCCATGAGGGAGAAACTGAAGTTGTCCCTAGAGAAGGTGAAATGGAGGTGGAAAGCAATGAGTAGAATACGAGAAGATGGGAGAAAGAAAGATTGAGGGGGAAAAGGGTAGCTCTGGGGAGAACTATGAGAAGAAGAGACCATAATGTGTGAAGAGGAAGAGATTTAGGGGCTCTCTCTGAGTGGGTTTTTTTGTTTTGTTTCTATTATGGTATGAAACACAAGCATATAGGCTGTGTCTACATTGGCACCCCTTTCCGGAAAAGGGATGCTAATGTAGACTTCGGAATTGCAAATTCCATGGGGGATTTAAATATCCCCTGCAGCATTTGCATTTACATAGCTGCCGCTTTTTTCTGGCTTGGGGATAAGCCAGAGAAAAGCGCCAGTCTAGACGTGATTCTCTGGAAAATAAGCCCTTTTCCGGAGGATCTCTTATTCCTACTAAGCCCCTAGGAAAGCTGTTTGAAGGAGCTTTTGAGATTGTCACCTTGTAATAATGTGCTGCCCTTCTCCGGTGCCTTCCTATTCTGAGGTCTCAAAGCACTTTACAAAGGCTCATGAAATAGTAACTCACTTCTGAAGGGTGGCTACGCTATCCTCAACTGGCTTGTGCAATGCTACCCCGAGAGGCCATGGTGTGGCCAGGAACAGAACCCAATTCTCCTGACCCCCAGCCCTGTGCTGTGATCACTGAGGCCTCCATACAATTCTGCCTTTAACTAACTTGATTTGTGTGTGAGTGATGGAGTTTGTACTTAATTATTTCTGCTGTGCACATATAAATAACAACCTGATTAAAATATGCTAGGAGTGTGTGACTTACAGAATTGTTAAATCCTATTCTGAACCTGCTTAACCACTACTAGCGTGAAGTATGATTAAACAACTTCAGGCTGAACCTCTCTAGTCCAGCATCCTCAGGACCAGAGAATTTGCTGGACCACAGGAGGTCAATATTGTCTAGCAGCATTACCAACACTTCCACTGCTTACTGATCTCTTAGAAGACATTTAAGGGTAAATTAGATCTAAACAACAGCACAGAACATTGAGAGCCGGGAGTAGTGACTGAAAACCGGGGGCAGGGAAACTTTTTTGGGTTTGGGGGCTGCTGACCCACAGAAAAAATAGTTGGGGGTTGTACACAAATGAGAAGACCAAAAAAACCACCAAACCTTTACTGATGTGGCCCCCAACTGAGGAGAAAAACACTCCTCGTTCCACGAGGCGTACAGATAGTTCGGAATGGCTAGCTAGTTCGAACTATCTAGCCCGTGCCGCGTGTAGCCGCACGGCACGGGGTTCGAACAAGCCGGCATTTAAAAATGGCGCCGGCCAGCTTATGCAAATAAAGCCCGGGAAATTCAAATCCCGGGCTTCATTTGCACGTTTGGTATGCATACATTACCCCGCTAGTTTGAACTAGCGGGGTAGTGTAGACATACCCTTGGAGAGGAATTGTAACTCCAACTGGGAGAGGGGTCCTGCCACCTAGAGCCTGAAGTTGCGTGGTCACTGCCAGAGTGAGCATGTCCAACCTGCAGCCCCCCCTGCAGCACAGCCAGGGCCTGAGAGAGAGCCCTGGGACCTACCCCCTCCCGCAGCACAGCCAAGGCCTGAGAAAGAGCCCTGGGACCTATAAAGAGCAGACTGTGAACTGTCCTTACACTCTGCAAACTGCTGTTTGTGACGTCCCCATGCTACAGAGCAGGCCTGAGTGTTCTCATTTAACCTTTTCATTTTTTCCTTATTCTTTTCTTTTTAATCAGTTGCCGTTTAATAAATTGTATTTGCTTTGAACTGTATGTAATGATCACTGGCTCAAGAAAGCATCCAGCGTGAAGTGAGCACCCCGGAGTGAGGACACCCTAGCCCCTGCCACAAGTGACTACAAGGTCGGGGATTAAGCCCCAGAAAATCTGGGCCTAGCCTTGTTGGGATTTCGAGCACTCTGCTACTCAGGAGAGTGGAAGGGGACCCCTCAGGATCAGGGAGGCCTTTGGGTTAAAGAAGTGGGAGCAGGGACTCAGATCCTTTCGCTGGTCCATTTCACCGGGGTAGTATGGAAGCCAGGAAAGTTCCCCACAATAGCAGGACCATTCCCTCGCTTACCCATACAAAGATTAAGGCAAGACTACACAACACGCAGTCCTGATGATATTAATAAAATACAATATTCACCCAATTTCCACTCATATGACAGCACTTTTAAAGAGCAATGATAGTCCAGGAATTTAACTACTAAAACGGATATCAATGGAAGACCATTGAAGTAGGAATAAGATCCTCCGGAAAAGGGCGCTTTTTCCGGAGGATCGGGGCCAGTGTAGATGCTCTTTTGCGGCTTTTCTAAAAGCCGGAAAAAAGCGGCGGACATTTTTATTTAAATGCCGCGGGGGATATTTAAATCCCCCGCGGATTTCCCTATTGCGATCTCTGAAATTAACATGCCCCTTCCGGAAAAGGGGCCAGTGTAGACGTAGCCAAGCAGTTTATCAGGCCCAGCCCTGGGTCAGCGCAGGGCGGAAAGACAAAAGTTTACAGGGGGGTGGGGTTCGACAACAGTTCAAGGCTCTGGCCAAGTCCCAGCTGGGTGGAGGTCGGGTCTCCTAGCTGGCGGAGAGCCGACAAGCGCAGGGGTTTTGCCTCCACAGGGGGAACTGACAGTGGCAGCACGGCAGCCACAGGGTTGGCAGGGATCTGGACTGCAACACGCCGACCAGGTCTGTGCATCAGTGGGGATCCAAGCTGCAACGCGCTGCCCACCCAACCTCCATCTCCTCAACTGCCCTGGGGTTGACGGTCCCTGGGACGCTTTCCAGTTCCCCCTGGAGGCCTAACTGGCTCAGGTGCTGCATCTCGGGGTCAGCTGGGGATGGAGGTTCTGGCAGTGTCCACTGGTTCCAGTTCTGGCTCAGGCAAGCACACATGGGGACCGATCCAGTAATCGGAGCCTGATGGGGGGGTCTTTTCCATGAGTCTTCGGGCCAGGGCAGCAGTCTCCATGGCCCAGGCAAGTCGTCAGGGGCCGGCAGGGGTCCTGGCAGCCCAACCCAGTCCTTCTGTCGGGTGCAGCATAGCTGGACCTTTGCTGCAGGAGCTGAGGCTGGGTGTCTGGCCTGTTCGGCCACCAGGCTCCAACTAAGCTCTGAGCTCTTATACCCATGCTTCTGGCTTCCTGCTTCCTGTGGGTGGGGTTAG